GTTTTGTCAAATGTTGTTTTCTCTTGTTTGTAATTACAATTTGAGACCTTTATATTATTTTAAGGTTTTCTTGAAAAAGGTGCTACTCATTGACGGTGATAAAACAGTTACATTTCTCTCATTATAAAAAATTCCATTCCAAAAGTACTATGATTATTCTAATTATCCCCCTTCAATAACACACACACCCAATTTAAAGTTATGTCTGTGACTGTGTAGTCAATCAAATTCAGAATGCCACTGAAATTATGTTTTCTTTTTCTACAGAAAATCTGATTACAAGATCTGCTTCTATCAAGGCATTTTAAACAGATATGCAGTGCTGCAATGGGCAACAGCAATGGGCAAAGTGCACAAGCAATAATTTTAGGTGCCTGACTGTCAAAACATTTTATATTGGCTTTTAAAAATCTTGAATATTTTATGGGATATTTTTCTGCACACAAACACACACACACACAAATGCAAAACTTACTTTCATTTGCCCTTTGGTTCTCTTTTCCTATTTTTAACATCATCACCTCTGTTCAAAGAATTACCATCTTCCCTAACTATGAGTGACTCCTGGATAGCTCAATGGGCATTCAACAGATTAAATGTGCGGAAACACACTAGATTTCCAAAACTGAAATAATTTACATGGCATCTTTACTAAGGTCTCTAACAGTGCCATCCTCAGCAGAGTTACAGACTTCTAAGCCCAGTAATTTCAATTAATTTAGAGTGTAGCTCAGCTTAAGGAACTTTCAGCCATACTGTAGCTGCAGTTCCCCAGTGACTATGGTACATGGGGAAGGCAGGATCCCTTCCCTGCAGTCCCAATCTGAATTTGCTATCTGCAAAATGTATAGTATAATCCAGAAAACATTTGCACATATTCTTCCCACTGAGTAATCCATTTTAAGTGCAAGTAAATATACTTGGCCACTTGTTAATCATTTCTTTAGTGCTTAATGCTGTAAATGTTGACTTAATAGTATTTGCCAAGTATATGTTGCTCCCTTCATAACACAGTTTTAAACAATGACTTGAAGTTACTTTATAGCTCTATGCCTCTGAAGTCCTAAATTATTTATACTTTATTTCTCAACTACAGCTATTTGATGAAGTCAAGCCATCAAATGAAAGAAATGAAAGAAAAAGAGATCAATACTCACCATTAAATCAAGTCTGTGATTAATTGCCAAAGCCGAATGTTCCAGGGCCTTGAAAACAGAGGTATAGCAATCACTCAGTTTTGTGTACTTGCCAACCAGAGCTACAGAACATGTCTTCAGCATCCTTTCATACCTGACAATATAAGTTTTCATTCAATGCATTCATCACCACAAGTAAAATCAACAAAAGGTTTTTCACTTTTAGGGTATAAAAGTTTTTAAAAATCATTATAGTTTCTCCTACAAACAACAACAAAAAATGGCTTGTAGCTCTGTTAGAACTGTGGCTGCCAGGCTGACCTTACCTTTAGGGAGGGCATGACACTCTGCCACAAACAACAGATTTTGGAGGAGCAGTAAAAGGCAGCGCTACCGGTTGTTTAGTTTATCAAAAAAAAATTTCCCGCAGAAAGACACCATTTAGATTTTCTACATCAGTTTTGCACTATAGCTGAGGGCTGCAAACCTAAGCAAACATATTTGGAAGAAAGGGTCACTAAAATAATTGGGGCTTCCTTTTGAGTAAAGATGACAGCAGCTGGGCTCAAACTGTAATAACAACAGTTATTTCAGCCAACAATTTAGTTGGAAGAGTTATCATGGGGGGGGGGAAACTGGACCACATGAGTTGAGAAAGCAATTGGGATGTGCAAATGGGGACCCCCAAAGGCCTGCTGGACATGCTGTGGCAAAAGGGGTGACTCCTTCATAGAGGCAGCCTAACCCAGAGCCGTTCAATTTTTGCTGTGATACAAATGAAAAGCTGAGGGACAACAGGCAGTGATCAAGGTGGTTACTATTTTTCATGGAAAACAGTATGGTAAAAATGTTCTACTGTGTGGCATTTTGTCAAAAAAAAAAAATCACATATAAGGTTTAAAAATAATACCCAATAAGTCATTTGGCAGGTTTCCCAGAAATTTATGATAGCCCTGGAAGCACAATGATACATCTCTGCGGTTACCACACACACACAAATGCTAGCATGGTCCTTTACAAAAGTGCAGCAAGAAGATGCTCTAGTGAAAATGTTTAGGATTGGGGAGGTGGAAAGAAACAACACAAGCAAAAAGAAAGCAGTACCTATCTGCCATTTTTTTCCATTTGAAAAGAAGATCACTTGGGTGGTCATCAATTGGCAGGTTCAATCTCTCTTTAAAGTATTTAATTATGCCTTGCTCTTCCAACAGGATTGGCACCCGATAAGTAGAAGAAACATCATGGATGAATATTACCTATAAAAAGATTTTAATTACTGATATCTCAAATTTTAAATAAAATGGATATACACTTACAAGTACATACAGTGAGACCTATTAATCTAATGTTCCTTTAAAACTTGCCAGACTACTTACACAGAAGGAAAAATGGGCAAATCAGAGGTACACAATTTAATGTTAGATTCGTTTATCAAAAATAGGCCCCTGATTTAACTAAACAGCAGATTTTAACTGAAGTATTTATATCATTCTTAATACAAACACTTAATAAAAATCACAGGTGGCAGGCACAATCTTAGAAGAGGTGTTCCCCTATCCCACACATGAGAAAATACCTCTTTTAAGATTTTTTTCTAAGACTCTGCTGGCTATGATGTATGCAGGCATTATTTAAAAACAAAGACAGTATGCTTTATCATCAAAAATGTTTATTTATTCAATGCAAAATTATGCAGATTGAATGTATCTTATTAATTTTAGTCAATCAATGAATGAATGATCTAAGAATGAACCTCTCAATGCATTTACTATGGAATACGTCCCCTTATACACAGTGGGACTTACTTCCAAGTAATCATACCTAGGACTGTGCTAAGCAGGTTTTATAATCAGCTGTAGGGTTCTACAAAATACAAAATAATAATTCATCTATTATTATTGTTTTATAACCCTACATGCATTCAGGAAGTTTCTTAAGGATGTTATGGTATCTTATTCTATACTATGGAAAAAAGCTGAAGAATGATCCAGGCAACAAAACAGTACCATTAAGGATGACAAGGTTATAGACGAACAAATTCTCTTTTTAGTGAAATAAACAGCTTGTAAATTTCTATTAAATAATTTCCCTATATCTGTATTTTGCAAATGAGCTTGTAATACATTGACAGTAAAATATGTTATTTAAATGGCTAAAACTGTGAAGGACTCTCTCTGCATTCAGTCTACAAAACCAAAAGCCTGATTACTCAGGTATTTCCACTGGTACTGAAAAGGCACCACTTTGCCTCAAATCTGGCATTCAAAAGGACATACGATGTATACATATAGAAGACAGTGGAATGATGCCCACTGTATCTGCACTGGATTACATGCACAGAGCTGCTTCTGTATAAAATATAGCTTTGTTTTTAGTATGGGCAGTCAGTATCTGTTGATGTAAATAGGTTCATACTATATACTTTTTGCTTTTTCTTTAACATGTTAATACTTATGCTGTGCTTCACCTGTGATTGGTTTCCAGATTTCTACAAGTCAAATCTTGTTGCACGGTCTACTGGATGTCCCACCCTGCTGATTGTATTGATTTAATTCTGTGTAATCTGTCTTATGCCTCAGAGAGGAAGAAGGACTATAAATAAATAATGTAAATAAAATAAATAAAATACTGTTGTTTTTAGGGCTCTGTGCTGGAGATCTGTTCTAGTTTAACTATTATATCTGTAACATGTATTTTATACCTGGATTTTTGTCAACCTTGAGTCCTATGAGGAGCAAATTGCAAGGTATAAATAAATGAAAAATCAGCCTCTAAGCTTTTTATGTTCAGAATAATAATGCTTGTGATTATTCTTTGGTTAACAGCAAGAAAAATTACAAGTCTTTTTTTTTTTTAAATTCTGTACATAAACTACTGATGTGTAAAGATACAATACTGACCTCTGCTGGATTATATTGGCCCTTGATTCATACATTTGTCTAGGTATTTACTGATTTTTTTCTATAGTTAATATGTTACATGAAATAAAGGAGATTATAAATAATAAAAGTATGAAAATTCTGAGAAGTATAAAGGACTTGAAGTAGAAGAGTGTCCACAGGTTCAGAAAGAATGAAATCCTCCCAATAAATGACGGCTTACTGTTCTTGAACCATGAATATCCAAAAATCTACTCCCTCTCTTGAACTAAGAAAAAACTCAAAATCAGTTGCAAGCCTGAATGTTGCTATGCTGAAGAGTCAACAAACCTGTTCAGGTTCTACATGACAAAACATGGATATTTTTTCTTTCACAGCCATTTCGATAGGCTTAGTACTTCTGCAGACTATCTGTCAAAATACAGACAAACAGGTAAGCAACAAGTCCTGGTTGTAGAAAGACAGTTTAAAGAACTGTATGGTAGACACCCCCCCCCAAAAAAAAAAACATCAACAAAGTAATTCATTTATTATTACATTTATATTCCACCTTTCTATTGTGAAAGAACTCAAGGCAGCATATACAGGGGATTCCTAAAAGTTTTTCTGAAACTGAAATAAAGGGAGGGTGCCTCATCAAAATTTACATTAGAATGCACTGCAGTCTCTGTGCATTCAGTCATCTAGATATCGTGTTGTTCAACACTGTACTATGTTTTTGGCTACACATACTACATTTCGTTTGTTAAATGAGCACATTAAAATTTACTCTTATAACACCATCAGGGTTAGAACTTGGCAAAAGAACCAAGTGACATCTTTATAACAGCAGGACAAGGAAGGCTGTATTAAAAATCAAGCTAGAGCACAAGAGAAATATTAAATAAGTCTGAAATATATGATGACCAACACACCGGAGGAACGATAACGAAACAAGAAAAGCTGGGAGCAAGTGAAAAAAAGCTAGAAAAGGGAACTGAACTAACAACAAAAGTGATACTAAGACCACAGCAGGCTCCTCAGGTTGCCATCTTATAGTACTGCTGACAAGCTAACCAGCAGAAAGCCAGTGTGGTGTAGCAGCTAGACTAGGAGCTGGAAGACCCAAGTTCAGATCCCCACTCTTCCATGGAAGTTTGCTAGGTGACCTTGGGTCAGTCACACACTGACTACCTTACAGGATTATACAGAGGATGCTGATGGAAGCTGCTTTGGGTCTCTATCTGGCAAAAATGAAGGGTCTAAATGAAATAAATTATAAAATAAGATAAAGGATGATTTACTAACCTATGTGTGCTTCCTTTTGAGAAGCCTAATGTATACCAGACGTCATTTCCTGCAGGAGCGCACAGGAGCAGAGCTCCGGTAGTAAGGAGCCCAGGGGGCGGGCACATGCAACAAGCCCCGCCCCCTGCTCCCAGCAGCCCTCAGTTGGGCCACGAGGAGCAAGAAGCAGCCAGGTAAGTTGCGGAGCCCCCTCCCCGGCCCGCCTTCAGGTACAAGTTCTCCCTCCTCTGTGAGGGCAGATCTACGTGTTCCCCTCCCCCCCATAGCTAGCAATCCAAAACAGTCCAGTGGAGCCTGAGCGGTGGGTGTTGCCTTCTGACACACTTCCGGTGATGTCAGGGGGTGCGGCATATGCAAATAAGTTATGCTAATGTTATGCTAATGAGCTCCTGCATCTCTTTTTCTACGAAATGACCCCTGATGTAGACTATATTTAAGGAAACAACTGGAAGAGCCTACTAGACATACAGTTGTATAGCAATAAGCACCTGGCATAGCAAGGCATAAATGTAACATCAACCTATGTAACATCAAAGAATGCACACATTTAACAGACACTACAGTTTTGGGCATGCAGATCCAAAGCATGTTTTTAAGAACTTGTTCTACACAGTTGAATTGCATGGCTACACTGTATATGCTGATGGTTGTCTCTAATGTGCACTCTTTTCATTATACTGGCTTTCCTTTAAAATAAATCAAGCTCACCAAGTCAGGAGACAGACCAAGACCTCTTAAAGCCCGGACGCTATTCTGAGTAGGCTTCGTTTTCTGTTCTCCAGTAGCATTAGGCTGAAAATGTTGTAGCCATAAAGAGGAAGAGAAGAAGAAGAGATTGAATTTATACCCCGCCCTTCACTACCCAAAGGTGTCTCAGAGCAGCTTACAAACTCCTTTCCCTTCCCCTACCCATAACAGACACCCTGTGAGGTATGTGGGGCTGAGAGAGCTCTGACAGAAATTGTTCTTTTTCAAGAACAGCTGTGCCAGAACTACGGCTTGCCCAAGGCCATCCAGCAGGTGCAAGTGGAGGAGCGGGGAATCAAACCCAGTTCTCCCAGATTAGAGTCCGCACACTTAACCACTACAACAAACTGGGGGGGGGGGACTTTTTTTTTAAAATCCAGGAAATGTAGGGAGACTACAAATATATGCAATGCTTACTTTCTTATCAAATCTAAACCTATTTTACTGCTTTAACATAAAATAAATAATTTATAACAGCATATTACTATATTACTTGGCACATGACATTTAAAAGTGTAACTTAGTTTTCTATGTGCAAAATTGTAGACATTCCCAGTACTACAAAAAACTGCAAACTGCCACACCCTATGCTATTTTAGCATATGTATCTCTCAAATGACAGGCAGGAAAAACATAAAAGTTGAAAATAAAAAGGATAAACTTCGAGGCGAAGAATGGAAAGTGTTATTTTTTTGGGACAGTCTCAAACAGTCACAATAGGATTAAAAGCATATTTGGATATTGTGTTAAACTGTATAACACTAAAACATTGACTATTCAATAGAGTATAATCATCATACACATTATAGCATACTGTGTATGCAAGTAGTCATATTTAAACACTGCACACTTAAAATATTGCATATGTCTATAATATATGCAAGAATAATCATTCTCTAATGATGCAAATTGACTTACTTGTTTGCAATAGTTCATGTGAAAATATGAACAAGTGTCAGCAATGCAACAACAAACATTCATCCATAACTCTGTTAACATAATCTGCTCTTCATTCTCTTTCCTTTCAACATACTTTGAATGAATATTTTTCTAGTTTTAAATGTGAATGTTATTATTATTATTGACACAAATACAACACACAATATAAAGACTTACCTGTGGCACAAGACTGACATGGATATTGCAGAAATTCTCTCGTTTGGCCTTAAATTGAAATTGTCGGAAAGCTTCCACAAAAGGCATTCCTTCAATGTCTCCAATAGTTCCACCCAGCTGCAAATGAAAGTCTCTAGTTAATCAGATAGAGTCAAATTGAAAAATGAGACAAACTCAACACTCATGTTACTGTAGACTCTTCATTTGTAATTTGCTGACATTTGTTCTTTAATAAAAGGGAAAGAAGCACCACGTGAAAAGGTTCTGATAAATGTGGTGGTTGTCTCCTGCTATTATGACTACTTCTACAGTGATAACATACCATAGCAGTCATCAATGCTTAAGTAAAAGTAGTTTCCTTAAAGAACCTCTAGAATAATGTCATAAAAGAGGGAGGAAAGGTATTCTCTGTTCACATTACAAAAATATACTAATTTTGATTACACGTATCTGTAGTATTCATACTCATACTCACTTCAATTACACATATCTGTGGCTCTTTCTTATCGCTATCCACAGGAACCTTTGCCTGGTTCATTACCCATTCTTGAACAGCATCAGTAATATGTGGTACGACTGCAAGGCAAGCTGAATGTTAATGCAAGCAAAAGTCAAAAGGTACTTTAAAAATTCAGAGACCACCTAGCAGAATAGACTTAAGAGACAGCAGCAGCATTTTAAAAGCATGTCACCTTTATCGGAGCCTAAAGAAATCCTTCAGAGACTATCTAATTAAATAGATAAATAAAAGGAGTATGAATAGACTATTTTCTGTTTGAACTATCAATTATTTGGGAATGAATATTTTATACTTAATACTTCAAATAGATTTTATGCAGGGTTTCATAATTTATGCTCTACAGTTTGAAAAGCTTTATAAATATTGCTATTACATCTCAATTGTAGGGCAATTTGTATATGTAAATAAGCAAGCAGCAGTAAGAAGCCAAACATATAACAAATGTTTAACAACAATGCTGCAAACAAAGATAATTCCAACTTCCTGCTCTACATAAAGCTCACTGTCACTCAGCCTAACCAAAGACAAAACTGGATGACCACATGCACAGTGCTTGAAATCCTTGGAGGAAGGGCAAAAGACAAAAACGATAAAGGAATCGTCTATACAAAACTGAAGCACCTTGAACTGTTTTCCCCAAGTAGTCACCATGCCTCTCTTTATTGATGACATGCTGATAGATCTTTCCAGTAGTAATGTTGTTATCCTTATAAAGGTTAATATCCAAGAATCGTTCATAGTTCCCCAAGTCTAAATCAACTTCTCCACCATCATTTAGAACAAACACTTCACCTGAAGAAACAAAGCAATATTTTTGATAATTGACAACACACATTTTCAGTCTTGAAAAATACCTTTCCAAATAACACATGCAAAAGACTAGATAACCTGCAGAAAAAAGAAATGTTTTTCATATTAAAAAAATTCAAATGAAAACTGAGAAGTCATGAGATTAGAAAACATATAATTAATTTGAAGTGCCTTTTACCAATTTATTCATTTGGAGAGCCCAGCACTTATATTAAATCTATAATACCATCCTAAACTAATAAGCTATAATGGGTGTAACCCTGCTTTGGACAGCACTGTCAGAAACTTATTTCTGAAAAACGAAAGACGGAAAGAAGTCATAGCCTAGCCAGAGATGATGTACCACATGAAAACACTTCAAAAATCAAATGAGATCAGCAAGCTATGCATTCTATCTAGCTCTGTTCCAATAATTTCTCTGCTGGGCCCTATTCCAGTGTAACGGGGGCATATCTATTCTTCTCCAGTTGAAAACTTAGAGTAACTAGTACGAGTCTGGCTTTTCCTCCTCCTCAAGCTGCCTTCTCTATACCAGTGGATGGGGGCAGTCTTACTACTCATGCTGAAACTGCTCCTACTTATTGCAAGTATGGAACTTCACAGTGTTTCCTACATACAATGAATGGGACCATACCAAGGGAATCCACAGGCAAAACTTCTTTTCTTTTTCTTCTTAAAATTATCATAACAACAATAAGCTGCTTTCTATTATGTTATCCCTCATGACAGTCTATATCACTCCATGTCCCAAAAATTATGTAACCAGAATCACGACAAGGAGATTATTTTACTATTCCTTCCAATATATTCACTTATATTTGATATAAAATTTAATCCTGAAAGATACGTGACTGTTGGCCTGAATGTTAAAAGTGAACAAATATGGACGTGAAGCATTTTTATAAGACCCTAATAAAAACATTTAAAAACAATTTCAAATCAGAAAAAACATGCCATAAACGCCCTAGACCCAAAATCAATCTGGTAACCAACCAGAATAAAACTGCAGTTTGTCTCATGTTGCCATCTAGCCTCCATTTTGGCATGACTTTCTCCTGCCTCTTTTTATCTTAAAACCAAGATCTGCTTCTTTCTGCTAGGAAACTGAGCCCAGAAAATGTTCAGAGCTCAATTCCAAGACAAAAACTGAGAGCCAGCTGAGGGAAAGCATAAGCCCACCATGATCTCTTGGTGCTCACCAGGGAGAACAACAGTCTCAAACAGAAACATGGCTCTCCCTTTATTCATCTATGTTAGAAAAATTATGTGGCCCCACGAGGTGGCTTACAACATAATAAAAACATAAAACATTAAAAGTTGTTAATTAAGCCTAACATTAAAAACAAATCGAACCAAAGCATAAAATCACAGATAATGGAGCAGCTTATGATGCCTACCAATTTTCAGACTGAAAACACACTATAAAAATGTGTTAAATGATCAGCCTTCTGATCAATTTATCTGGCCATCAGAACATCAATTAAGGCCTCAGAGCAAGGGTACACTTCGTACAAAGGATCCAACTGCATTAGTTCTAAGGCTTAGAAAAGAACTAAGTGTACACTAGAGATCCTGAGTATAAAGTGATCTAACTTGGACTGCTGGAATCTCCCACTGAAATTCCATTCAAGGAGATAACAGACACCACCCCCAACACAGCTCCTCCCTGCCCAGAGATTTCCCCTCCCTGCCTTAATGGCTTGCTTCACTTAAGTGTGCTTTCAGGACACCTTGCTCTGACTGGATCTAAGCCATCCCAGTTGGTACAGCTTTAGATGAACCTGGTCTAGCACCCATTATGTGCCTCTGTGTTCTTTCCTTTTTAATTATTTGCTGCCTAGATGTCTGGACCCATGCCTAGGAAATTGGAAAAGTGCATGGATAGCTATTGATCCTGTTTAACCCACTCACTTTCCCCCTTCCTGAATGATAACGTGTGGCACAGTGTGTGCTGGCATCAGGAACATTAGTGAACACATACAATGCTGCCTTATACTGAATCAGACTCTTGGTCGATCAAGGTCAGTATTGTCTACTCAGACTGGCAGTGGCTCTCCAAGGTCTCAGGCAGAGGTCTTTCACATCACCAATTGCCTGGTCCTTTTAACTGGAGAAGCTGGGGATTAAACCCGGGACTTTCTGCATGCCAAGCAGATGCTCAACCACTTACCCACAGCCCCTCCCTAAATGTGGGCATTCTACTGTTCAGTACAGAGATACTGCAAGGTTAATATTATCATAACTACTTTGAGTATTGCTAATTATTCCCTTCAATAAACTTAATCTTGAATCTCAATATTTCTTCCAAACTGGTGCTACATCTTTTGTAACTTTGCCAACAATCTGTTTGTTGCACTTTGTGTGCATTACTGCCCAGACCCTAAAACAGCAGCACCTAGGGAAGAGAGGAGACAATGATGAAGGTTTTCTTCTTTGTGTTCGAGGAACCCTAGTGTGAATTTGAGATCAAACTGGAAAGTGGAAAGAGTTTGTAAGTTGCTCTGAGACACCGAGTGAAGGGGGGGGGGGTATAAATCCAACTCTTCTTCATCATACAGAAACATTCCTAGAGTACACAAGGTAGATCCTACCTCTATACTCCCACTCCACTGAGCAAAGTTTGAAGCCTTCCTCCAGCCTAAAAAGCCTTGCTCCAATTTAAGTGGCTCTTCTGTTGGAGAACTGACAAAAGACATATTTTTAGGAACTGCATGATGTGTAATGTAATCTAGATGCCGTCTTCAGTACAGGGCCATTTCATGGAGCCTCTAATAAACGGAAAATAGCCTGGATCATTTTAATTCTTCAGAAGTGTAGCCCAAATTTCCTGCTTGGTTACTTTTGTAGTAGAAAACAAGCTAGGAGGAAAAAATCCTTCTTGATTACTGATACGTTTTCTGCTTGAAAACTAAGTCATAATGATTATTGATCTGCTTTATACATGTGGGACAAGTCTGTGGCCATACAAGAAATAAATATGGATGCTGGATATTTAGTCAAAAGTCTAAAAGACTAAAGTAAAAAACTGAAGGGCTGGAACTTGTGAACCCAGTCTAGTGCCATATTTTTTCCCCAAAACCCATCTCTCATCTGAAATCATATTTCACTGGTTTCGCCCAAATAGTCTTAACATGATGGAAAAGGGAGCTCTTCAAAGGAACAGATCCCAGGCTAGGGATGGGCACGTTGATGAACTAAAGTTCGTCACAAATTCTGCCCTGTTGGGGTTTGCAAACCAAAGTTCATGAACTGAAGAACCACAACAAACTACCACGAATTTTGGTGCAATTCATGGTGGCTCATGACAGTTCGTGAAGAAGACCCCTGCTTTCTGCTCATCAGGAGAAACAGCTAAGCAGCTAGGAGTTTCCCACCACTCAGCAGTTGAATTTAAATAGCTCGGAGCCATTTACACCACGGCTGCTTTCTGCTCCCTACAGCCTTCCTCGGGGAGCAGAAAACAGGTTTAATCGGCCCTGCTTTCTGCTCTCCGCAAAAAGCTGCGGAGAGCAGAAAGCAGGGTTTAAATAGAAGGGGTGAAGTCCCTTCCCGGGAGATCTTACCCCTCACCTTTCTGCTGGCGATGGTGTGCTGCGGCCAGCAGAAAGGTGGACAGGAAGCCCCCTCTTGGAAGATCTCCCCCCCTTTCTACTGGCCAGGGCTTGCCATGGCTAGCAGAAGGTGGAAGAGAAGTCCCTTCCCAGGAGATCCCCTCCCCTTGCTGCTGGCAGCTATTTTTCAGGATGTCTACTGGAGTCCTTTTAAAGTTTAAAGGGACTGCAAAAGACAGCACAAAACAGCTGTGCAGTAGGGAGTGCCTCCCTGCTATGCAGCTGTTTTCACACTATTCTGCAGTCTCTTTAAACTAAATCTGCACACAGAGACTAAAGAGATTTTTCTGCAACCCTGGGGAGCTCCCTTGGTGTGTAGAAAAATCTGAAATGTTTAAATTTCTCCCAAACTAAAGTAAAGTCAAAAAAATTAAAAACCACACACAATGCACTTAATTTGCTTCTGTGGAGTCCAGCAGCAGCTGCAGTGTTGTCCTGGAGCTGCTCAGGGCCCAGTTGTGGCCAATGCAGGGAGCCTCTCGAGGCTCAGCTGGGGTGCACACTGGGAGCTGCTCGGGGCTCGGCCTCAGCGACCGTGGACTCTGAGAGCTGCTTGCTGCCCAGCTGCCATGGCAGCTGATGCAGGGAGCTGCTTGGAGCCCAGGTGTTGTGGTAATTGACATTGGGAGGTGCCCAGAGCCCAGCCACCACAGTGGTGGATGCAGGGCGCCACTTTGGGCTCGGAGCAGCTCCCAGACACTGCTGCAGCAAGGGCCCGAGGTTAGTTTTGGGCCAGGACACCCTGGCTCAGCAATGGGAGGGGTAGATGGCATTCTCCCCGGCACGTTTTGCGGGCCCCCACTTGTACCTTTCTATATCTACCTAAGTCAATGGTTTTAGGAAAGTCTAACTCTGCTTAGGATTGCACTATATGTCATATATCTGCATAGGAAGAACCAAAAAATCATACATTTCTCCTTCTATTTTGGACCTGACAGTACCGTGTTGTATTTCCTTTGTTTTGATTACAGAGAAATCAACATGCTATAGGTAGCAAAAAATGTTTAATTCAAAATAATACAGGAAAAATATATATTATATTCTGTATGCACTTCTTAACTATCTGTACCAAACTTTTATATGTAGAACACAAAAAATGAAGGCTGTGTTCACTTATAGACTTATGTCCAAGTTAAGACATATATTTTACTGCCAGCTCTTATTGTGACATTGGAATGCACATATTCTCAGCAATATTCTAAAATCTACATCAACTAATTAGCCCTTAAGTCACTGCCAAAGGCCCCAACTGACCAGACAATGCTCAGATCTGTTTTGGATGGGAACACTGGAGTTGTTTGTTTTCCCCCCTGCAAATGTCTGTGCACATACAGGCATCACTATTCCTGTATGCAATTTTTTGTTGTTGCTATTTTTACCCCATCCTTTTTTTGGAAATCTTCATATTTTTCTGGTTACCCTACGTCTGCAAATGTGAATGCCTGGGTACCCCCTCCCCCTGCAGATTTTTGGATCTATGGGGGAAATAGATAACAGCTCATTTATATGTGCACTTCACCGCTTGATGATGCAACAAATGAATGCTAAACACTAATGTGTAAATTAGCTCTCAGTATTCTCAGATTAAAAAAATAAACACCAGGCTGCAACAAGCTGCAACCCTGGACAGTCTTTTTTTTTATTTAAAAGTCTCACTACATACAGTAGATAATACACATCAATTCACTGTTGGCAGTCTTTACAAAATCAGATGCTTTAAAAACTTCAACTAGCCCTATGTCTTAAGAAAGAAAATAAATGCAATTGGACCAGTACAGAAAGAAAAGTTGCAACACTCATACCATGTTCATAAGGTGAGAAGGTTCCAGCATCTATGTTAATGTAAGGATCTATTTTGATAGCAGTAACTCGAAGGCCACATGATTTCAAGATGGTGCCTATGCTACTTGCAATAATTCCTTTACCAATGCCTGAAATAACACCGCCAGTTACCAGGATGTACTTCATGGGGTATTTAGGGGTACACTGCAAATTTCGAACTGGAAATCTAAAAATAAAAATATTGATTTGTTAAAAGTGGATATATGAAGTATTTTGAAATTTCCTGCGGGAAAAAAGAATTAAAGTTATCTTCAAAGAAATAACTTATTTTTTCATGCAGATGTTTTAATCCAACAAGAACTGCCAATAGCTGGAAGTATTATTAGCCAAAGTATGGAGAAGGGGAGAGAGAGAAATTCCTAGAAGACAAAAATATCAACAGCCAAAAGGCAGGATACTCAGAAATTCATCATGATATTTACAGTGTCCATAATGGCATGGAATAATTATCTGTGCTTGTAAGAATTTTGAAGCATCTGGATCTGGCTACTATTGAAGACAGAATATTGAGTTAGATAGACAATTTGTCTGACCCAATTCCCATCTCATAAATTTACTTCTCAAGCATGTAGTTTAAAAGTATACAAAGTATACAAAATAATTCTTGGAATTCTGTTTAATTATCAGTTTCCACCAAGATTGTTAGACCAAGGTTATATGAATATATTGCTCTTCAGTAGCTGTTCAGCAATTAAGCAAACTCCAGAGCATATGGAGCAGAGGTATAGATAGGGGCTCTGGGGCAAGTGATGCTCTGTCTTCTTGGTGCTTGGGGGGGGGGGGGGGCATGTCCTGGCCCCACTGGTGGACCTCCTGATGGCACCTGGTATTTTTGGCCACTGTGTGTTGGACTGGATGGGCCTTTGGCCTGATCCAACATTGGCATCTCTTATGTTCTTAGCATGACGGAAGACAGGAGGGCCTGGCGTGATGTGGTCCATGCGGTCGCGAAGTCGGACTAGACTGTGTGACTGAACAACAACAAAGCTGTTCAGTTTGTTATTACTTGCTAGTTCTGATTTTCATATATTTTCCTCCAACTCTCTACTAGAGTTTATATCCTTCCAGATGCAGAAAAAGAGAAGAGTTATACACTGCGGCCACTTCTAGTTTCTATTTGAACATCACCATACACTAGTCAGGAACATACTGTGGAATGACAGAGCCAATCTACCCCCCCCCCAAGTCTGGCCCAGTGCTGGGCCAAGGTGCATGAGTAGTGAGTTTCTGACAGTCGCTGTTGAGCCTGTCTCCAACAAGTCCTTCTTTATCAGGAAACATAACAGTAGAGGGTGTTGCTGACCTTTTCCAGGTCTGTTTCAGCCACCCAGGCCACTCTTGCCCTCCTCCCCACACCCAGTCATGGCTTTGCTTTAAAGAGGTTTTGTAATATTGTTGTGGTTGCCTTGCAACCCCCAACAACCACTGAAACATCAGTTGGCATTATTTTCTTAAGGCTACAGGCCCTGTTTCTGTTAGTTTAGGGCGTTTTAATCCCCCAGTGTAATTTATTTTACTTGTTTAGATTTCAGATTTTCCTGCAACCCTAGGACTTTCTTCAGGTGTGTAGAAAATCCCCCCAGTCTGTCTCTAGTTCCGTTATGTGGCTCTATCAATCATATCCTCAATTGCACAGTTTGGAAACAGATATATTGATGATTCCAGATCCAAACATTTGAAAATAAAAGACATCCCTTTAAATTAAGATCAGCCATGAAAACTATTTCCCACAGATGTTTCTAATCATGGGCAGAGGACCCTTCCCCGTAACTTCCCACAACCCTATTTTGTCAGGAAGATTCATTTCTGGTAAGAGAGCAAGGTTGAAGTTTCACACTGTTTATTTTACTGGGATTATATGTCTAGCAGGGGTGCCAAACCACAGTTTGGGAGCCGCATGTGGCTCTTTCACAGTGTCTAATTTAATGTCTTGAGGCTCTCAAACATGATGGGCTCTTTTTGTAGCAGGAACTCCTTTGCATATTAGGCAACACACCCCTAATGTAGCCAATCCTCCAAGAGCTTACAGAGCTCTTCTTACAGGGGCTACTGTAAGCTCTTCGAGGATTGGCTATATTAGGGGTGTGTCACCTAATATGCAAAGGAATTCCTGCTACAAAAAGAGCCGTATGTGCGGCTGTTATGTTAAGCAAGTTTGGCCACCCCTCGTTCCTCCATGCTCTGAAACTGTGCAGAATGAGAGGATGAAGAAATCAAGTTTTCCACTAAAAAAACCAAAAAGAAGAATGTGACAAGACTCCTGTGCCTTTAAAACTGTACTACAGTCCCAACTTCAGCTATAATCCACATAAACTGAAGGAGTTGCATTTCTGCATCATCCATGGTCTTTGCCACTGTTTGGGTGTTTTTAAAACCTGTCACATCTCTACCCTCTCTTTATTGCCACACACATTCAATGTATGACACATACTTGATGGACCACAGCCTGTCACAGGGCAAAGGAGCTGCTTCAAATCAAAATAAGCATTTTTAGAGGGCAAAGGAACCTTGTATTTTTTAAATAAGTATCATCACTAAAAGTAGTCACGAGACCCTCTTCCAGGAGCCTGAGCGTGGCAGCGGGGAGTCAAATCAGCACTTGTTAGCCCACTTATAAGGAGGAGGGCGAAGGCCCGCGCTTTCGTTGCCGCCGCAAGCAGCGGGCTACAAGCCCAGTCCCGTAGCCATCGGGGCTTGTTCGCGAGTGTCGTCGCAGCGGTCGCCAGAGCGGACGGGCCGGGAAAGGACTGTGCCACCGCCGCCACATGCCCGCAAGGACCCTCGGAGGTGAGGCGCAGGCAGGTCGCCCGTGGCGCCGAGGTGAAAAGGGCCGCTTACCTGGCGGCGAGTGAGGCGATTGCAGCGGCAAGGGCCGTATGGCTGAGCGGCCCGTTCCTCCGCTTCCCTCCCTTCCTCTGCTAGTGAGTCGCTTTTAAAGGAGGCTTGGAGACCGCAGCCAGCGCTTCCCCGGACGACCGCTAGGAGGAAGCCGAGTTCCGACCTGAGCGGCTGTCTCCTCCACAAGAGGCGGGTCGCGCAAACGACAGCAGAGGCGGCGAGACTCGGGTTAGGGAGCGCAACGGCGCAGTCGCCTTTTCTTCGCATCCCAGACAAGAATGCACTCTGCACGTATGCAGAGGCTGTCTTGCTTCGCGCGCTGGCTCTCTGGCCGTTTTGGGGATAAAGAATTTGACATATCCGTATTTGACTCTGTGAACTGTTCATGTTTTCAGACTACACATAGTGGATTTTATGCTTATATGACCTTTGTAATGTTTTAAGTGCTGAGATTCTGTATGTTCTCTTTGACTTTAATAAAATCGTATTAAACGTTTTTTAAAAAGAATTTTACATTTCTTTTACGCAAACTGCTAGATTTGAACAGAGTTTGAGACCAGTGGCACCTTTGAGACCAACAATGCTTTATTCAAGGTATGAGCTTTCGTGTGGATCTGAGGAAGTATGCGTGGCCACGGAAGCTCATACCTTGAATAAAACTTTGTCGGTTTTAAAGGTGCTACTGGGCTTAAGCTTCGTCCTGCTGCTTCAGACCAACACGGCAGCCCCCACCTGGTGCTAGATTTTGAGGTTTTCTACATCTACTGATCATCAGTTCACATGAGTGTGTCAACAAACTGTTGCATAGAATTATTCTGCCTTTGTCACTGGGAAATAAGGCAGATTACAAATGCGATAAGAACAGGAAAAAAAAAGAATAAAGCAGGAGGGCCGGGCAGATTACGCGTAAGAGAAAGCCCATTCAGACAAGACTGCCAACGGAGTACAAAATATAATATATAACGATTCAGTCTAAGCGCAAAATGTGTTAATAAAAAAGCAGAAAGACCGAATGGGGGAGGCGGGGGGAGACGAGAGCGGCGAACTCGGCGGTCAACCAGTCGCCCGCTCCGTTCGGAAGAGTAGAGAGACAGCGCAGAGCGTCCCGCCTCCTATCTGACGTACTCAAATGACGTCGCTCGGAAGTCGCCGCACTCTCTTTTCCGGAAACAAAACGTTAGTTTCCCCCACCGGGGCCTGTTTCTGCGACATCCGTCGAATCGCCGCAGGGAGCGGCGGGCAGGCGAGGCAGGAGGGGGCGCGGTCGAGGCCGTTAAGATGTTGCGCGGCTTGAGCGGCTGGTTCGGGATGAGTCGGGCGACGGAGGAAGAGACGCCGCTTCCCCTTGAAGGGGAATCCGAAGCTGGCGAGGGAGAAGCCGTGCCCGAGGAGGCGTCGGAGCGGAGCCCGGAGCAGGTGGATCCGGGCCCGGTTCTCAGCCAGGCCAAGGGACTCGGCAGTAAGTGTCTGTCGCCCGCCCGCCCCCCGGACTAACTCGCCTGTCACCATCCCAGTCCTAGGCCAACGAACGCCTCCAGAGCAATGGATATCCTCGTTTCCAAGCTACCAGTCAAGTCGGCCGTAAATAATCCCCCCCCATTTCTTTCCCTTAGCTCCTTAGACATCCTTTGGGCTGGTCTCCCCAAAGCTGCAGTTCTTTACATACCGTTTCCCCCATATGGGAGTAGGGGTGCCAACTGCCGGGGGGGGAATGCGGTGTCCATTTCCAAGATGATTAAGTGGATGCAATTCTGTACATACCCCTGAGCCCGTTCGCGGGGACGGCGGGGTATAATACAAAAACAAACAAATAAATAAATACCGTTCCCCCCCACAGACACACACATGGGAGTAGAGATGTCATGCCTGGAGAAATAAATGCCCTGTCCATTTAAAAAAATGATTAATTGGATGTTTTAAAAAACTTCTGTGGAAAGCTTCAGTTGCCTATTTCCACATATCGAGTCTCTATTTAAAGGGGCATTTTTTTTCTTCTGGGCTGTTGGCAACCCTACTTGTAATAAGCCTCACTGAACAGAGCCCCCTCTTATGTACTTTTAATCAGGAAAAGTCCCACTGACGTCAGTGTGGTTTATTCTTGAGTAAGCTGTGCCTACAATTAAAACCTGAGGCTGTCATCTACTGCTCATTTTATTTAGTTGAAGCTGCATTGATTTCAGTAGAATAAATGTATTGTGGGTTCTAGTCAAAGGTGCAGTCATTAATGCTCTAGACTTGTAAGTTCATTGAACTCACTGGAAGTCACTCTGTATGCCTCTTGTAAACGACTTCAGGCACTTCTTCAGCTTTAAGAGATTCTGGAGTACTCTCTGAGTTACATGCAAAGTTTTCACAATACACAGAAAAAGTAATGTATGCCATTACTGGTGATTTTCTGCGAGGTTCATGAAATTCTGTGCCCATGGTATTTAAAACATAGATTTATCACTGTTTTGGAATTAAGGCATATGTTAATGTTTAGACAAATTAGCCATTAAATGGAAATTTGCCCATGTCTGCTAAAAAGACAGTAAATATGCCAGGCACTTATTCTTTCTCTGGTCTTGCAGTGCAGATCCCTTCTTTTTTAATGACAGTTGTGAAAGGGCAGTCCTTGGATACTTTACTGAAGAGAACTGCTAATAGAATGTTAATGCTTTTTCAGGATTGCCTGACAATTCCAACTTATGATCAAGATGATAAACCCTGAACAGTTGCAGTGAATATAAATAGCAGTTGCTTCTTCGGACATGTACCTGTGCAGGTGTTTCTGAACACTTAGGGCTTTCATAAATTTACCAGCCCAGATGAACTAGGATAGGTAGATGTGCTTTAAACAGAAAATACCAGGATGTATTTTGACACACTGGCAGTGCAATGTCCAAACCACTTTCCTAACAGTAAGCCTCATTGAGTAGGTCTGAGTAGGCTTCTGAATAGACCTGCTTATGATCACTTTCCAAGTCAAGCTTGAGGAGCGTTACTCATCACTACTTTAAAATATAGATCATGTCACCCTATTGATTTTTTAGAATCTGGCCTTCCCCCTCTTTAAGCACACATTTACTACTTTTCCTGTATCCAAAAGATTGTATTACTAGTCTTTGCACTCTTTGTGTGCCTGCACTCTTAAAGACACCTGCATAAGCAATATGCTGAAGCTTGGAAATGCAGGTGTTTACCTTGATTTTAAGCATGCTCTGCTTTTTGTTACGTGGTTTAACTGAAAGACAACTTTAAAAGTGTAGTCCAAAACCGATTTTGTTTAAATAAATTTCTATGCAATGTGGCAATTTGTAATTATTTTCTCCTTGAAAAGGCCTAGTCCAGTGTTTTCCAACTGTGACTGTCACTGTTGGCTGATATGCATTTTGTATCCAGCCACAATGATTAGTTTAGGGCAAAGGATGAATGAAGTTATGTGGAACTAGAACATTGTTACTGGATGCTGTTTTTTGCCCTACTGAGAACTACTAAGGAGGAGTGAAAGCTAGTGAGAACCTAGGAGGATCAGTCTTACAGGAAAGGAACAAGGTACAGTTATTCATTATATAGTTATACCTCCTATTGTAGTATGCTTTAATTGAAGCTACTGCAGTACTTCAACCTGATCAAATATCAGCAATACTAGGATTTTGATACTGTAAACATGGCAAAACAATGGTAAGCTTATTATGTTTGCCTAGATCATTTAATCTTTGTCATATGAAAAAGGCTTCAAGATTTTCTGTGCTTGCTTGAGAGAAATATCCCTAATATCAACTTGGCCTTCATGCTACGATACTTATCTTGGAAAAAGGCATCCAATAATGAATAATTAGTTGTGCCACAATATTCTACACAAAAAAACAAACATAAGGGTGCTGTTTTTTTATTCAGTGCATTTTTGAAGTGCTCTCAGTTTCTAACCTCTAGCTAGCACTGTTTGAAAGATGCAGGTCCTTGTGGGATGCTGGCCTTGTACACAGTACATAGTCCTAGTCACTGGATTCTTCCTGAATTAATAGGAGAAATTGAAAATCATGGAACCCTGATTTTAACTAGTTATCTGTAGAAAGTGAAAATAATGTAACCCTAGTTTTAGCTAGTTATTTTATCAGTGAGATTAATAAACGTTAATTCATTTTGCATCTGTGAAGTTATGGAAGCTTCCTTTACTTTTGATTTGTATTTTAGCACAAGTTATACATGCAATGTCTCTGAATAGAAGACAAAGTACGGCCTGACAGTCTGCACATCCACATTTCCCTTTGTGCACAATATATATCAATAATAATAATAATATCTGCCCTCTCCAGTAAAACCAGGCTCAGAGTGGTGTACAGCGCAATTGTATAAAACATCAATAAAACAAAACCTTTATAACAAAGATAATACATAAGACAATTTTTAAAAAATCTGATTCTACTTGTCTATATTAACTACAGACGGTGCTAAAATCCTAGCAGTGCTGCTGTCTGGTTGGAAACGGACAGGGGGAAATAGGAAGTGGGAATGCCAAGACTGTACCGTCGCTGTCCTCAACCAAATGCCTGGCAGAACAACTCTGCCTTGCACGCCATGTGGAACTGTAAAATGTCCCACAGGGTGTGGATGTTATTCGGCAGAGAGTCCCACCAGGTTGGAACCAGGGCAGAGAAAGCCGTGGCTCTGGTTGAGGACAGCCAGATGTTTCTCAGGCCAGGGACCACCAATAAGTTCTGATCTTTTGAGCATAACGCTCTTCTGGAGGTATACCAGGAAAGGTGGTCCTGGAGGTATATAGGTCCCTGACCGTTAAGGGCCTCAAAGGTCACCACCATAACCTTGAATCTGATTCGGTACTCCACTGGAAGCCAGTGCAGCTCGCGCAGCACTGGATGGATATGCGCTGTCAAGGCTTCCCTGTAAGGACCCGTGCTGCTACATTTTGCATCAGTTCCGGGTCATCCTCAAGGGTAGGCCCACGTAGAGTGAGTTACAGTAATCCAATCTGGAGGTGACTTTTGCATGGATTTCAGTGGCTAGGACAGGGCGAGTCAGGTAGGGGGCCAGTTGCCTAGCCTGGCACAGATGGTAAAATGCCAGTCTGACAACATTTGTGACCTGGGACTCCATTGTCAAGGAGGCATCCAGGATAGTAGGCGCTGGTCTCAAGGGCTGGGAGTTGGCACCCCAACCCGGAGTCTCCCCAGCCACAGAACCTCAGTCTTAGAAGGATTCAGTCTCAGCTGACTCTTGTTTTAACCATCCCACCACAGCCTGCAACCCCTCTGCCAGATTTTCTGGGGTGGTATCTGGCTGGCCGCCCATCAACAGATAAAGCTGGGTATAGTCAGCATGCTAATGACACCCAGCCCAAACTTTTGTTATCATATCTGCAGGGGGAGAGATTATTATGAGCTGGGCATGTAAGTTATGTGCTGAATCAGTAATTCTGATATACAGGTAAATGCCAGAGAATATGTTGTGCCTAATATTAATTAGAGGCAGATAAATATTAGATAAATATTCTGGGTTTACATATTCTTTTATTTTCAAAAGGTTCTCTGCTCAATTTTGCCACTACTGCCACAAAAAGGATATCGGAATCAGTTGCTGAAACAGCACAAACAATAAAGAAGTCTGTTGAAGAAGGCAAAATAGAAAGTATCATCGATAAGGTACCTATCCTACTGTAAATAGCATACTCTGAAATCTGGTACATACTCTTGCATACTTTGTTTGAAAAACAAAATTTCCCACATTTTACGAATATAATTCAGGTAATAAGCTAGCAGCATATGTGATAATTTGGTTTGTACGATTCCAGGCAGAGGTCATTTCGTAGAAAAAGTGGTGCAGGAGCTCATTAGCATAACTTATTTGCATATGCCACACCCCCTGACATCACCGGAAGTCTGTCAGAAGGCAACACCCACCGCTCAGGCTCCACTAGACTGTTTTGGATTGCTAGCTATTGGGGGGGGGGGACCTGCAGATCTGTCCTGAATAAAACTTGGTCTTAAAGGTGCCACTGGACTGGGGTGGGTGGATGGGAGCTCTGCAACTTATCTGGCTGCGTCTTGCTCTGACTGAGGGATGCTGGGAGCAGGGGGTGGGGCTTGTTGCATGTGCCCGCCCCCTGGGCTCTTTACTGCCGGATCTCCACTCCTGTGCGTTCCTCCAGGAAATGACCCCTGATTGCAGGGATAAAAACCTAAAAAGAGCCCTGCTGGATCAGACAGCTGGTCCATCTTGTCCAGCATCCTGTCTCACACAGTGGCCAGTCTGTTCCTCTGGAGGGCCATCAACAGGGCGTAGAAGCCAAGATCTTCCCCTGATGTTGCCTCAGAGGTTTAGTGCCTCTGAATGTGGAGGTTCCCCTCAGTCACCATGGCTAATAGACACTGATAGATCTCTCCTCCATGGAGCTATCTAATCCCCTGTTAAAGCTGTTTATTCCTGTGGCCATCTCTAAATCCTTTGGCAGTGAATTCCACATTTTAATCACTCTCTGTGTAACAAAGAATTTGCTTTTGTCCATCCTGAATCTGCTGACCATTAGCTTCATTTGATGCCCTTAAGTTCTAGTATTTTGGGAGAGGGGGGAAATGTCGCTTTGTCAACTCTCTCCATCCCATGCATAATTTTATAAACCTCTATCACGTCTACCCTTAGTAATATCTTTTCTGAACTGAAAAGTCCCAGACTCTTCAGCCTTTCCTCATAAGGAAAGTGCTCCCTAATCATCTCAGTTGCCGTCCTCTGTACTTTTCCCAGCTTTGCAGTGTCTTTTTTGAGATATATGGGGCATTAATTAATCTTATACAGAAGTGCTGCAGATAACAGCCTGTCTTCTGCCTCTCCACTGAACAAAATTTGAAGTCTTCCTCCACTGGAAGCACGACAAGCTGGAGGAGGTTTCAGTAGGGTAGCTATGTTGGTCTGGAGTAGGAGAGTTAGATCGGAGTCCAGTAGCACCATAGAGACCAACAAGATTTCCAGGTATCTTATGGAGGGAGCTTTGACTCTCAAAAGCTTATACCCTAAAACTCTTGTCTCTGAGGTACCGGCTTGAGGAAGCTCTTCAGTCTGTTGTATGATTCCACCCAGTATCTCACTGATCAGCTGCTCCATCCTCTCCTCGAGTATCTCTGCCCCTGCTTTTTCTCTGTATCATCCTCAGTGTCGTTTTCAAACTCAAAACTATTTTTATATAGGAAATGCCATCTAAAGTGTTGGATAGTTAGATATGATGAATCTTGTGCACATATCTTATTTCCTACACCAAAATGTAGCAGATCACATCCCCTTTTTTCAGCTGCATCATTGTAAATCTGTGTGTGTGTGTGTGTGTGTGTGTCTCTCTCTCTCTCTCTCTATATATATATATATAGAATGTACTAGAAATCATAGGAAGCGTGGAAGTACTATGATATACAAAGTGAGTCAGTGTACAGCAATATAATTTGAGACACTAATCCACATGAGAGCATTTTAATTCTTATAACTTCAAATAGTGGTTAATCTGCTTAGTGATATATTATCAGAAAAAAACTTGGTCATGTTTTTCCCTCCTGTCAAATACAGAAAATAGACTATCATGTCCTGGTGGCAAAATCAGAAAATTAACTGGATAATTGCAGTATATATTTTGTTAAATTTGTCCCAAAATTATTACTTTTGCTTAAAAACTATTGTTACATATGATTTTGGCTACAGCTGGTGTTTTATGTTAGCCTTGTTCTAGGGATTGGGGGGGGGGGAGAATATTCAAGCAGTGTTTCTACCTCATATTTTGCAATACCCTTGGTGTCTTCCAGCCTAGCTTAAACTGAGAAGAAAACTTAATCTGGCACAATACCAATGGTTCCTTTAACTCCCCTACACGCTGTAACAGATAATTAAGTTGGCAGATGAAATGAAACAGGATCTGAGACTCCATGAGAGCAAAATCCATCTTTACCTCACAGTTAGGAGGAAAGGTTGAGAAGGTTGCTGCCATGTATTGATCTTGAACATTTCTTTGTACAGAACGCAGCTGCATATAAGTCACCACATGTGATGTATACCGTTTAAAATTAAGCATAGGTTTACATATTATTGTTTTACTTTGTATTTCAAAGCTATACACACATTCCAGTTTTAAGTACCATGAGCTGTTCTGGTTTAGAGATTATGTCCAAAATCTTTTAACAGTGGGAAGGGCGGGGTATAAATTGAACTAATAAATAAATAAATAAGTTATGACTATTTAGCTTCATTTTTCTTTTAACATTTTTCTGTAATAACTTTATTTTTTCTTGTAGACAATTATAGGAGATTTTCAGAAGGAACAGAAAAAATTTGTTCAACAGCAGCACACCAAAAAATCAGGTATTGTGTAAATATAGTTACTTTAAAAAGCTGAGCTAACATTCAAATCCTTTGTAATTCTCTGAGAAGGTGGAGCTTTTTATAGCTATTTTGTTGGCTTTTTCTAAAGGTACGCTAATGAGACTTCAAAGAGTAGCACTGTAATACTTCTTAATTAACATTTTGATTACTAGCTGCTTGGCTTGCCCTTACAAATTCTCATTTATTTTCTGTGAGTAAAACTGTGTTAATCTGTGCTGAGTTATTCATGTCATTCTTTTTTATTATCATATACAGAGGTAGCAGGTCACCTGTAGAACAATTTAGTTCTTTTCCACTGATGGTTCCAAGCATTTTAATTTTGCAGTTTGTCTTGGCTTCTTTGCAGAAGTTAGTAATTAAGAAACCATACTATCTTCACATCACCCCTGAAGATGCCCTGACCTGGATAGGATAGGCTGGCCCAATCTCAGAAGCTAAACAGGATTGGCCCCGGTTGGTACTTGGATGGGAAACCACCAAGAAAGTTCAGGGTTGCTACACAGAGGAAGGGCAATGGCAAACCACCTCTGTTTGTCTCTTGCCTTGAAAACCTTACAGGGTTGTCACAAGTTAGCTTTGGCTTGATGGCACTTTTCACCACCACTGAAGATGATCCTGCTGTCTTCTTAAGTAAGGTTGTTTTAAAGCAGCTGAGTTTATTAAAATATTTATTTACTGCATTTATACCCAGACTTTCTCTCAAATGTAGGTTCAAAGGTCACATTGTTCTCCTTTCCTGCATTTTAATCTCACAGTGAGCCAGTCCGGTAGGTTAGAGTGTGTGTGACTGGTCCAGGGTGACACAATAAGCTGCTATGACAGTGTGGGGGTTCAAACCTGGGTATCCCAGATTCCAGTGGTTATCCAGAAGTGGTGTAATAGAAAGCATACAGCAACTGAGCAAAAACAACAATGCTTTTTAGAAACTGTAAAGCAAAGAACATTGAAATACTACTTGTATGAGGAGAAACAGTTTATTCCTGTGATAGAGATAGCCATGAAGAACCATGACACTTAAAATACTCTTTCCTTGCTTGCAAACTGCTTAAAGAATTGCACATGATGCCTATGTATACATAGTTTTTAAAGCTTAAAAACTATCCTGTTCCACAAATAAATTGCTCGCATATTTTCAGTTAGACTGAGAATACTTCTAATAATTGGGATCTTTCATCCTTCTTCTCTGTCATCCCCTAGATCAGGGGTGGCCAAACTGTAGCTCGGGAGCAGCATGCGGCTCTTTCGCACATGTTGTGCGGCTCCCGGTAGCTGGGAAAGCGAAGGGGACGCATACTTTTTCTCCCTCTCTTCCTTCCTTCCCCCTCCCTCCCATCTATTTGCTTTCTTGGTTCTCTGGCTCTCTCTTTCTTTTCACCTCTTTCGTTCTTTCTTTCCACCTCTCTCTCTTAGACAAATACATATCATTTGCAAGCAAATATCATTGGACAAATAAATATCATTATCAATATCTTTTTACCCCTTCTATTTTTATTTTTGGCAGTCTCATTTAATGTTAATAAAAAGCAAATTTGCATATTTTTAAATAAAAATGTCCGTGTCAATCAATTCAATTCAAAACCTTTATTGGCATGGATCAGAGTCATAAACAGTCACCCTTCAGTTCATTGATTTAACACATAGCTTCCAAATATCCGTGTCATATTTGTTCATGTCTTGCGGCTCTCAAACATCTGATGTTTATTCTATATGGCTCTTACATTGAGCAAGTTTGGCCACCCCTACCCTAGATCAACTCTTACAAGGGTGATGACTGGAGCTGAATGTGCACAGCTTTGCTTATTTTATAGGGTCTTTCTAGCATTGAGAACTGGGTGTAGCAAACTGATATGTTATGTCCATACAGTTGGCTTGCTGCCTGTCTCATAGAGAAAGTTATTTTATTTGTAAAAGATTATATTCTGGTTTTCTACCCTCACAAGGGTCACCAAGACAGCTAGCAATTTAAAACCTACATGATAAAATCACCTTTTAAAGCCATTAAAACCAACCCTCCCCAACACACATCATGGAAACAATTAAAAACAGAGTTAAAATATATATAAAACATGAAAACAGTAATTAAAACATTGGTTAGGAAGGAGGGGGTCACTGAGTGGATGCCAAACGAAACAAAGAAGTTTTCACCTGCTGGCAGAAGATGGCAGAACAGACAAATCATCCTGGGGAGAGAGTTCCAGAGCTTTGGCGCCATGATGAAGAGGACTCTCTCCTGGGTTTCCATCTGCCTAATCTCCAAAGGGAGAAGCACCTGAAGCAGAAACTCTGAAGGTGACCTTAGTGGTCAGGCAAGTTGTAGATGGGCCAAGACTGGAATGATATTGTCCCTACCACCCACTCTAGTCAACATCCTGGCTGCAGCATTCTGTACCAATGGAAGTTTCCAAACACTTCTCTACGGCAGCCCCGTGTAGAGCACATTGCAGTCATCTAATCTTGGTGTAACCAATGCATGCACCACAGTGACCAGATCTTTTTCGCCCAGGAAAGGCTGCAGCTGGCTACCCAGTCAAAGCTGGTAAAAGGCACTCCTGCCAGCTGCCACCTGCTTATCCAACAGTAGGCCTGGATCTAAGAGCAAACCCATTCCTTTAAGGAGAGTGCAACCCCATCCAGGATCAGACCTTTTTCCAACCAGTAGCATTTCTATCTTGTTAGGATTAAACTTCAGTTTTTTAGCCAGTATCCACTCTAAAACTGCCTCCATGCACGGGTTCATGGTTTCTACAGCCTCCCTGAGATCAGCTGGAAGCCTGAGATAGAGCTCAGTGCCATCTGCGTATTGGTGACAGCCCACCCTGAATCTACAGATAACCTCACCCAGCGGTTTCATGTAGATGTGAAAGAGCCTAGGGGACAAGATGGAATGTTGTGGGATCCCAAAGGACAAGGGGCTGAGCAGCAGGTCCCCCAGCAACACTTTCTGCAACCTATCATCTAGGTATGACCAGTATCTCCACAAAACAGTGGCTCCCAATCTCAGCCCAGATAGATGGTCCAGAAGAATGCCATGATCAGTGGTATCAAAACCTGCTGAGAGGTCCAGGGGAATGAACAGGGTCACACTCTCTCTGGCCATTTTTCAGCACAAGTCCGCCAGGGTGACCAAGGCTGTTTCAGTCCCATTACCAGCTTTTGGAGGGCTTACAAAGTTGTGTAAACAGGATTTCATGTCTCTTCAGGTATGTGTGTGACTTCACTGTTTAAAACTGTAGACAAAATTGCAATCATGCTTCTGAACACTGGCCATGTAGGAATTGCTTTCTGACGCCCTTCTTGATATTTGCAACAGATTAAAAAAACAGTATTATTCAGCTGAGCACTCTTCTGATAGATCTTGGCATTTTCCAGCTAAAGATAACAGTAGTTCTATTCTCTACTAGTACTGACCGCAAGTATTTCAAACATTCCCTTTTTGCTCACAGAAGCAGCTGTGCCTCCCTGGGTAGACAGCAATGAAGAAGAAACAATTCAGCAACAAATACTGGCCTTATCAGCAGTAAGTTTTTCTTCCTACAAATGTGTGTTTCAATCATTTATTACTTAAACCAGGAGTGTAGTCTAGCAATATTACATGACAATTAATGAATCATTGGTAGGATCACAATAATTCCTAGAATAAAACCAGCTTTTTACTGAAAGGTGTTCTTCTTTATGCATTCTGGCAGAGCTATTTCATAGTCTGGTTGCTTCTCTGAATAATGAATTCAGAGAGCTCTTTAGAGAAGTAACAAGTGTCATATCTAGACTTCTGACTGACAAGTGCATTTTATTCTTCAAAGGACAGAAGAAACTTTCTGCGTGATCCACCAGCAGGGGTTCAGTTTAATTTTGACTTTGATCAAATGTATCCAGTTGCAATGGTAATGCTGCAGGAAGATGAGCTGCTGAAAAAATGAGATTTGATCTTGTCCCGAAACAGTGAGTAATCTTCAGAAATGTCTTAAATGGTGCAGCTGACTAAGAAATAGTGACTGCTCAACATTAAGATGTTATCTCTCATCACTATCTGATTTTCCATTCACATATAAAATGTGATAATTAATGGCATGCTACTCAAAATGTAAAAGCTGCAAATTACATTTAAATATTAAATCTAAATTATTTCTCAAAGGCTTTTTTGTCACAAAGGAGTTTGTCAAATGCTATTAGACCAACTCTGAAGAAGATGTACTCTTTGAGTTTGGTCCTAGTTAGTCAGAATTTCCATGAGCTTAGTGCCACTAGCAAATTTATCACCATGGGTTTCGGTCAACACAGAGGTGTTGACTGAGATGCACACCTAGGTACGGGTATTTTATGGATGTATGCAGCCATTGGCATAATACAGAGTTCCCCAACATAGTGCCTTCCAATACCTTTCTTGTTGCCTGCCAAGTGTTTTTAAGATGTGGGTGGGCCAGGTGGGGCTTCTGCCAGCAAGGATTCTGATTGGCCACTGGAGATTTGATGGGGTGTGCTTTGGTAGCAGCTACCACCAATACATATGGAACTTAACTGTCTGATTGACAGTAAGCTATGGCATCCATTTTGTGTCTGGCTCTACCACTTGTGGCAGCCATTTTGTGGTTGCAGCCACCACCCTGTGTCAGAATTCCAAAGGTGCCTGCAAGCTCAAAAAGGTTGGGGACCCCTGGCATAATATATGCAATCTTTCCTTTGTCTATCAAGCAATGATTGCATAAATTAGTCTACAGGGGGCTTTGCATGGCATCTCATATTTTTGTGGTGTGTGGTGTCTGTGTCTTGTTCCTATAAGAATGTGAAATGCCTTTGGTGTTAACAGGTAGAACTAGACATTGTCTTTGTACAATAAATTCTTGGCATTAAGATTCCTTAACCATGTCAAAAAAATCCGTAGTCTATTAGGGAAAGTCCCTGACAGCTTACTTCCCATAGTTTTCACATTGACATAAAATCAATGCACTTATCAAATTGTATACTCTCTGTCTTCAGTGTAAAGGAAGAGGTATTCTGGAGGAATTATTTCTACCGCGTCTCTCTAATTAAACAGTCCGCACAACTCACAGCACTGGCTGCACAACAGCAAGCCGTAAGAAAAGAGAAGGGTGGCGGTGAAGATGGTAGAGAGCTGACAGGTAGAGATTTTATTTTCACAAACATCTTGCTATGCTGGATGACAGCCCCTTTCACTGAGTTCATATTTAAAGGTCTTTTACTTGAATCCCAGAAATCTGAAACTTTAAAATGCAAAATAATTGTTATATTTCACAGCATAAATTCTAGGTGAGCATACATGGTTCTGGGTAGGTTAGGCTGCAAGCGAGTGATTGCCTCAAGATCACCCACTGATATTATTGGGTATTTGAACCTGGGTCATCTCAGTTCTATTCCAACAATACAACCACTATACCATATTGGCTTGCACCATTTTATTAATGCTGCCATAAGTACACAAACCAAACTAAACCTTCAAAAATACAGAGAAACATCTTGACTAAAAACCAGGTGTACCCATCGCTCCCAGGACTGGGTGTTTAGCTTACATATCCATTTACTTTTAGTAAATCTGAACCCTGTGCATTTCTCTACTTCTGCTCCTTGTCTTCTGCAAGTATGCCTTCTGGATGCCTGTGTATAATTTAATGTTATGTCGAGAGCAAGTGTGTTCTCTGCTCACAAATACATGAGAAGTTGCACCCAAGAGTCACTTTATACCTATTCTTGAAAGGACTAACAGAGTTCAGTTTCTCTGGTTAGAGGCGAAGAGAAGATAATGATTCCTAATTGTAAGATGAAGATAGCAGATGGAACTCCTTGCACAAGAAAATACAGCTTTTGCTGCGCAATCAAACCCAAGTTCTGAGCACTTACAACACTAAACAATTATACTGCTTGAGACTAAATTCTCATCCCATTAAATACTCTGCATATACTGAAATAAGAAGTCTTCAGAATTCTGTTTGTCTTTCTAGAAACTGTTCGACCAAAGACACCACCTGTGGCAATAAAGTCTCAGCTAAAACCTCATGAGGTAAAGCTATTCTATATTCTTGATCAGTATCTACAATATAAGTAACTTTGTTTTAGTTATGAACATGTGGTCAATCTGAACAGATTTCTAAAAAATTACTTCTCACACAGAAGCCACAAGTTTATTAAGGAACTTGAGTGGCCATAGCAATTCAGACCACCTTTTGAATTGGGCGGTTGTCTGTGTTATCTGCTCTGCTTAAACAGAGAAAGGTGCATTTTTTTCCCTCTCGCCTCCAAATAGCACAGTACTATTTCCCTACCTGGTAAAACTTGAACTGTTGAGTACTGATTCATTCCTCCCTAGGTCTTAAGGTAGCCTTTGCTGTTGCTTTAACAGGTCTGGTATGGTAGAAGCAGAAAAAGCAAATGAGGTCAGATGGATCCATCAGGCCTCCTTTTTCTCTGCTATCTGCTGTTTTTGCTACTGTTGTGATAATTTGTGCCCATAAACTTGAGAACAATTTTCCATGAAGACCCCAGCCTGTTCTCTACCTGTATAGAAGTTCTGTGCCTGTTACTTCTGTGTTTCCTCCTCCCCGTATACGAGTATAATATTAAGGAGCGTTAAAGAGATATTTACATTTTTCCTCTTATATTTTAACATTTGAAGGAAGAAGAGGAGATTTCTACCAGCCCAGGTGTATCAGAATTTGTGAGTGATGCTTTTGACGCATGCAGCTTGAATCGGGAAGATTTAAGGAAAGAGATTGAGCAGCTTGTGCTTGACAAAAAAAAAGAGGAAACTACAACAGTGGAAGGTAAAATGATCATTGTTTTCCGTTCTTTAATTTACATGTCTGGAGACATCAAGTCAGATCCAGCCAGGTTTTCCACTGGTGAAAAAGAGAGAAGAGCCCTTTGGCCGCCCCAAAGGCTGTGCTGGGGATCATAGGACCTGTGTTACAAATCCATGTGGGTCAGGAGTTGTAATGAGGAGAACTGGCCAAGACTGAGTGAAGAAAATTCCTTGGATCCAACCCAGTATTTTCCTGGATTCTGCATATTTCTAAATAGAAAATGGGTTGATAAAGTCATTCATTTCTTACTCCAAAGGAATAGTACAAATTTGTGTCCCTGTTAGTGCTCCTTTTCCTCCGTTACAAAACTTAATTGCTTACCCTCGCTTGAGTTATTAACAAGTATATGGCAGGGGTCCCCAAAGTGGTGCTTGTGGGTACCGTGGAACCCACAAACACCTTTCCTGGCACCTGCCAAATGATTTCAGAAAGTGGGCAGGGCCAGATGAGGGTTTCGGTGCAGCAGGGCTTCTGACTGGCCACTGCAGATCTGATTGGCTGTGCAGATCTTTTAAGATGTTACTTTGGCAGCAGCTGCCACCACGGCGTAAAGATTCTCACTGCATGATTGAACGTAAGTTGTGTGTGTTGAAGAAAATAGTTTAAAACAGTATGTTCATTTAAAAAGGGATCCTGTTAAACGGATATTCTGCTTGAAATACTGAAGAGGTAATACTGGAATAACGCATAACCTGACCTGACTCCCTGACAGCTTGTGGTTGGCTCCGCCTCCCATGGCAGCCGTTTGGTGTTTGCGCCCACCACCATGTGTCAGAGTTCGAAAGGTACCCGCAGTCTTTAAAAGGCTATTAGTTTTCATTTATAGCAAAACATTGAATAAGCAGGATTTGCAGGGTTAGGTGTTTTGAATGACTAACCTACTAAGATTTTTTTTTAATATACATCCTAAAGTCAGGGTAACAAGTGAAAAATGGCAGATGACTGCAACTCACTAATAGCACTGTTTGGGAATAGCTTTTTAGTCTAGCTTACTTGCATCATGCACATGCATAACAAAAACCCTAAACAAATATTAATTTATTACAAGAATAAACTTCTGAGGTCTTTCGGCTTCCAGGTCCCTGCTTTTCTCCCTTCACATGTTGCTCATATAATTAAAGACATTTTTTTTAAAAAAAGAACACATTATCCACACACTACAACAAACTCTGGTTTGTTCTCTTGCTTAAAGATTAGGACAAAATCATGCCACAGCATTTCTCTCAATGCGTAATAAACTATGGCATGAACCTGGAAACTTTTATATCTCAGCCATATGTAAGGAAGGGTGGAGGAAGATCCAAGTCCAAAGTTCATTCTCATAAACCATGGTTTGCTTTTTGCATCTGAAGGCCCCAATATGTTTCTCTATATGATCTGTTCTGTTCTTTCCTGGATATTCTTTCATATGAACAAGATTAATAGGATAAATAGGTGATTTTTTAAAATAGCAGCATCATGTTTCATAGTAATAACATATAGAAGAAAGTGTCTCTGTGGTCAGATATGGATAGCAGCAGATGGTCTTCTGGTTCACATGTTACACTTGTCCGTATAAATGTGTGCTTAAGAAAGGTTGGAACCGCTCACAAGGAAAGAAAACTATGCAAGCTAGCCGATATCCCCTAACAGAGGTGTCGAACTCATTTGTTACAAGGGCCGGATCTGACACAAGTGTCACTTTGTTTGTCAGGCCAGGCCATGCATGCCATAAAATGTATTGCCAGTTACCAGAGATATAAATTTTATAAAGGACACAGGCAAATCCAATTAATGATATTATGTTTTACTCAAAATATGCTTTAAACATAAGAGCATAAGCAGAGCCCTGCTGGATCATACCAGTGGTCCATTTAGTCCAGCATCCTGTCTCACACAGTGGCCAATCAGTTCCTCTGAGTCTACACAATATTCTAAATGAGGCCACGTCATAAATCTATACAGGGGCATTACAGTATCAACCATTTCATTCTCAATCCCTTTCCTAATCAACCCTAACTTAAGAGTTTGCCTTTTTTCACTGCTGCAGCACACTGTAATAGAACATAAGAGAAGCTATGCTGAATCAGGCCAGTGGCCCATCCAGTCCAGCACTCTGTGTTACACAGTCGTCAAAGCCCAGGTGCCCTCAGGATGTCCACCAGTGGAGCCAGAACTCCAGAAGCCCTCCCACTGTTGCCCTCCAAGCCCAAGAATACAGAGCATCACCCTGGAAGAAATGGCTACTTGGAGAGTGGACTCCCTTTGCATTAGACTACACCCCCCCCAAAAAAAAAAAAATCCCCAGGAATTTCCCAATAGAGTTGGCATCAGTCAGGGCGCCCATAAAATATCTGAGAGGAGATGGGCTCCAGTTGGAGAACCTGCCTGCCTGGGGAGGGGCACAAGATCCAGCCCTGGAGAAGCCAATCCAGCCAGCCTTCCTCCTTCCTGTGGCAGAGGACCAACTGGGCTGAGCGAAGGAGGTGTGTGTGGCACAATTTGGTTGAGCTCCACCAGGGCCATCCCTTCCCCATGTTATGAAGTGAATGCATGGGTGCTGCCTGCTCTCCAGCAGCTGCAATAGTGTGACGCAGCAGCAATAGTGAGGTGCGTTTTCTACCTCCAGCCATGCGGTAAAAGGCTGCAGAACAAGCGAACGGGGCTGCGCATTGCCCCACGCAAGGCTCAGGATGCCTGCCTGAGGAGGATGGCTGCGCAGTTCGCCTCCTCTCCCTGCAAAACAAAACTTGAAGCAGCTGTGGCTCCTGCCTCTTGCTTGCCAGCCGAGGTGGCCACTTCTCTCTCCCCACCCTCCAGAAGTTTGCAAGCAGCTGGGACAGGAAGGCGCTCACGTTTGGCATGGGAGTATCGAGGTTTCCAGCATAGGGA